GCAGAATTGCGATCAATTACAGAAATCTGGATTTCCTTTTAAGCTGTAGAGGTTTTTGCATTTGTACGAAATAGTGATTCCCTTATACTTGATTTTGCGTTTATTAGGAAATCTAAATATAAGATGTTCGTTCGTGATCATCTAGTTCTTCCTGACCTAAATAGCACGATTTCGGAATTTATAGTTAGCAAATTAATTCAAGTATTTCATATTATCATTACTTATTTACTTATAGGAGTATAAGCCGCCCACCAAGATTTTCCATAGAACTCGATCCTACAAAATCCCATCTCGTTTTTTGCAGTTGCTATTCCCACTTCTCATATCTGCTTCCGATTCCCGTCTCAATATGTTCCTAGGCCTTCCTCTTTTCCATTCACCTTCAGTAATACAAGTTACTGCTTGTCTCATGATGCAGTTTGATGATTTGCATAATGTATATCCTATCCACCTCCAACATCTTTTTCTAATTCACTCCTCAGCTAGAACCTGGTTTATTCTCTGCCACAGTGGGTTGTTGCTGATGGTATCCAGTGAACAGACATTTAGTAGCTTGTGTATATTGTGTGTTCTTCACAATCGCCGAACATTACCACGATGATTGATACGATATAACGAGTCAGAATAGACAATGATGTGACTTCCGCGTAAGATTTTTTAAATTAGGTTTTCACATTATGACATATCTACAATTTTGGGATTAGGTTTATTATTATAATAGTACTACGAGTGATGTAAACCACAATTTCGCAGTTCTTTCAACTACGCCGTCAAACACCTTTTCATAAACATGAAATATGATGTATAGTGACAAGTTTCAGTCGATATATCTCCCAACGATGATCCATACTGTCTCAATTTGCTCTATGCGCGACCGATCCTTACGGGATACGGCAGGTTGATCTCAAAACTGCGCGTCCACTGAATCCTTCATCCGGTTTGGCAACAATGTTGAAAACGTTTTCTGGTAGTGGTAGTAGTGTGATCTTTCTGTAGTTCTCACACCTGCTCAAATATCCTTTCTTTGGTAGCTTGATGATACTGTGATCTAGTGGTCATGATAAACCCTACTTCTTTAGTTCCATCTCTGTTGTAGGTATGACCTTTGTGCTTTATTGTTTATCTGCATCAAAATAATTATTTTGTCTGGGTGACATTTTCGTCATCGTCGTTGTTTGGCGCGATGCCTCCGAAAGTTGTTTCTGGGAAAGCGGCTAAAAAATCATCTAAAGTCAAAGTACCTAAGTCTGAGAAGAAAAAAAAGCGAAGGAGGAAGGAGAGTTATGCCATATACATATATAAGGTGTTACGTCAAGTCCATCCAGACACAGGGATATCATCAAAAGCGATGTCTATAATGAACTCTTTTGTTAATGATATCTTTGAAAGGATTGCAGCAGAAGCTAGTCGCTTAGCACATTATAACAAAAAATCCACCATTACCAGTCGTGAAGTTCAAACTGCTGTCCGACTACTATTGCCTGGCGAACTTGCGAAGCATGCTGTGTCTGAAGGTACAAAAGCAGTTACTAAGTACAGTGGATCGAAATAAAATGACTTTAACTTCCTTATGTAATGTTTTTAAGCAGACAATAAAATTATTTTCATCAGCTTGTAAGTCTTTATCTTAATAACGCCGTCAACCTCCATTCCACATATAATTTCTAGAAGTGCATTCCTTTTTTGGGCTTTCTTTTATGAGTAGCGGTTACTGGTCGACTGTGAGATTTGTGATATCACTTAAGCTTTTGTGTTATGTGATGACCCATCGGTAATTTTTCTATATTTAGGTGAATGTTTAGACTTGTGTTTACTGTGTTGCCGGGCCTGTTTACTTAATATTTCACTAAGCAGTGTGTAAATCTCGATTTATTTTGTCACCTTCCTGTCTGTATTAATCGTTCTCAGTTTGTTAGTTCTCATTCCCAGCTGTATAATTACATGTTTCACCTTAAAACGTCGATGGCTTGTTTTGCGGAGGAAATTAGCTTTAATTCTGAATAGTTCTTCCTATGGGTATACGAAATTATTAAGTAAGGGAATTAACTAGCCGTGGATCGTAGTAAAATACACCTACTTAAAAATGAATAGGAAATATCGGTCGATATACTTTCTCTAGGCTTGAAAGGACCTTTCAGAGTGTGGTGAGCAACGTCTATAGTGAAATCCAAACGCGGAGACGTCTGATCAGTTGGTAGTAAGTGTAAGTCTATTATCCACGAATGGGTAGTTAGTATGTTCTTTAACTAGACTTGCCTAATATTACTTTATAGTTTGCGACTGCGTTATCGTCGAAACGGGCATAATTAAGTTAGTGGCGCGCCGCACCCTAGTAGTTGTAGTGCATCGGGAATGTTTGCCTCCTATGAAAATATCGATCCCTACTGTCGAGAGCCCTGGCTCTTCCGTGGCTTCGTTTGTTGGTGCTAATTGTAAAGTATGGAGTCAAATATTCCTGGGAAGAAATACATTTCAGTCTAAAGTGTATTTAGGTAGCACTGATTTTCACTACACGATTAAAACCCGTACATTACCTTTATCAGACAGCTTACATGTTTCTAACTAATTAGTCACTTATTAGGCGATCCCGTCTAGGAAGTCACTTCAAAAAGTTCGCCTTATGTTTCCCCGAACTACACCATTCTTGTAATACTTTAGTTATCAACGTGTTTTAGATTATACACACTTAGATGAGTGAATGTGTCCTTATAGTTATCGAGAGAGGTATGATCAATATACCAGACAACTGTTCTTTACACCTTCCTAATTTTAGATTGTCTTCGATAAGAAAATTCATATCGTGAGGTTTGCAAGGCTTCACTTATCATTAGTGTCATGACTTAAATAAAGCATTGCCGGGAAACTTCTTATTGTCTTTTATGCGATACACATCCTGAAACCCATGTTCAAATGATCAAACGTAATTAAAAAAATTGTTTTTCGAACTTCATTTTTGTGCTAAGCACCAACTTTACAGTAGTATTCTCATACTTACTGGTGGTAAGCCAGTATCATTGAATAAGTCATTGTTGTATTGAGCGCTAGGCAAGTAAATTCTTTGAAGATAAGAGGGATTCAGTTCACTTTTTGTTACTTAGACGGGCAGTCGGATGTTCCTCGGAGTTGTAGTTTGTAGTAATCTCAGTGTCATTTTAAATTATGCAGACACAATAGCAGGCATTCTCTGATTTGTCTTGTATGATTTATTTCAGCTGATTCTATGTGAATTTACTATCTGTTACTTTTTCATCAAAACAGTTTCTATATGAAGTCTTTGCCGTGGACTGGGGAAGAAGAAACCGCTAAATACCTGTGTCGATGCACCTTCTTAAATACAAGCTAAAATACTACGTAACTTTAAACCTTAGCTCTGGCCTTTTGGTAAAATGAATAGGAGGGTGTCATATTCTCTTATTTAGATCTATGAGGCGGACTAATAGTTTGTCTTATCCCTTAAGAAACAGGCAAAGATAGGTTGACTTTGAAAAATACTTTTGGTGGTTGTTTACCAAAGAAGTTTGATCTTGAGTTGTTTGTCTAATGAAATGATATGTGTAGAATGTGAGGTGATTCAACATGAATCCTGTATCATTTTGGGACTGATTTGAAATGTAAAACTATGAATGTTTCATAAAGTCGTCGATGTAATGCAAAATTTCGTTGCCAATGAAGTAGTCTAGTGTGCCATATATAGTAGAACGAAAGCTTACTGCTTAAGGCATTCTATCTTCACTTACTTAGTGCTGGGCTCGAACTTCATTTTACTGCGGTTTGAGAATTTGATCACTATCATTAACCCTCACTTAGAGTATGAGCCATACTAAAGTACCTCGTGAATGAGTTAATTTAAACCCTAAAGACTTTATGCTACTGTGTCATATAAGAAATTACCGAGGAATAGTGTGGAAGACTAGCTTATAACTGAAGCTTATCTCTTTCCAACACTTTTGATCCCAAATAAAATAGTGATTTAATTCCTAAACCTTCCCACTGAATAATCGATTTCACACTTGTTCATGGCTCTTATTTCTCTCAGCATTCAACTAGAACACCTTTTTGTGCGTGGTCTGCTGTTATTAAGAATCTTCAAGGATTGATATTATGGGCAAAAATGCTTTTAAGGATGAATCGATGACTATCATGTTCGTTGAGCGGACAGAGTTCATATTTACCTAAATAGCAATTTTAGTTAATCCGAGGTAGATTATGCTTGTCTTTTTGGTATCATTCTCACGAAGAAAGTTCTAATCGTTCTAATTAATTAAGATAGCTAAAATTACACTCTTAATGTAGTCTGGAAATCTAGAGTTGTTGGCTTCATATTACTACAGATTGTATGATCATTTCAAACACGGTAGTCTGGAATATAGCGACTATCTGCCAATGGGACTGAATAATTGTTAAACCATGATTTGATTTGATTGACGTTGGGAATATAAGTCATTTAATCTAGATATATCACGCTCACTGTGAGATCTCTAAGTCATTTTTTGTGCGTTCGTATGTGTGTATTCTTAAGAAATCCAGACCTAAGGTGAAAAACCATCCAGTGCACAGTAATTCCTAATGATTCTCCAGATGATATCAGTTTATGATGAGAATTACTTCAGAGTCGGACAGTTCTTCACAAACTAATAAGTTTCATTTTGATCAGTGCACGCATGTTTTTTATATTTTCATTCCCATTAGTTACTATGTAATATTGAATTTCTTTAAAAATATTTCATTTTTTTTACAATCATTACGATAACGGAAATAAACAGTGGTTTTACCATCCTATTATCTCATTATTTTATCTATAATTTAAAAAGGTTATGAAGGACTTACTGTTCACTCGTCGGAAAATAACCCCAAGCATATTAGTTGAATTAAACGATATTCAACTTTACATAATAAAAGTAACATTTTATGGGCAATACATTATATCACTACTAATCTTACTTCATCCACGAGTAGTTATTACTCTACTCGGAATGTTATTTTACAAAAGTTAAGAATTAGTATCATGAAAGTGGTATCGTATTCAACAATAAATAACATTATGAAATACATTGTTATTATTTATTAGTTAGGTTTGAATTTCTCTTCCTGAATTCAACTTGTCTTTTTTCCTTCTATTTTAATGTAATATATTTTGTAAGAAATAAACGAAAAGAATTATTTACGAATATTCTATACAAGTTCAATACTACTATTAGTTTCAATAATAAATAAAACTGTACTGTGGAGAATGTTTAAAATGTAATATCTTTAATTATAATATACAATCTTTTAAAAAGTGTTTCTTAGCAGAGCGATAAATTTAAGATAATTTAGCCATACCTTATAACCACTTGGGCAAATATTTCTGGCCGCTTAAGAATTTCCATCATATAAGTACATCAATATATGAACGAAGAATATTCTTTACAATATATATAAGGTTACCACTGAAGGTTCATGATTCCTGATAAGCTTTCATAAAGTAATCGTGATCTACGCTCCAAGAATCAATCATAAACAATTTAGGACATGGCACATATGTAGGTCTGTGTAATTCGTTATAGCATATCAGCACAGCAAGATGAAAGTATTCAGACAAATACCAGAGCAGTAAAATTAGTAATGTTAGCAATGATTGTAGAAAAAATTGTATAGACACCAACCAGATAGTCTACACCTGCTAACAGGGTTCAGTCCAACAGTTACTAACTTCATGGACCGATGTTACGTTTTGGTTTTCCTTTCCATGGCTTTCATTCAACTTACTCCTTCACAAATAAACATTATGCGTTGAAACAGGTGGCGGTCGGGAATACGCATTGTCATACAGTTTTTCTGTGAGTAGTTCTTGATGTCTTAGCTTCGTATTTTTAAGACGTGAACCCCTAGCAACGAGAATTTGGGTGGTAAGGTGCAGTGTGCCAATCCTAGGCCCGGATTTTTATGCTTCCTTCCTTTCGTCATGGAAAGGCAGGATCTTCTCAGACGTTGGTTTTCCAAGAGAAATAGTACTGCCCTCACCATCTGGTATAGTCATCTGTATGACTCCACCCTTAGACTTTAAGCTTCTGCTTTTGGTTTTATCGTTCCCAACCAATCTATTTGGAATCTCAGGACTTAAAGGAGCAAGTATTTCAGTCAATAAAACGACTGCGTCAGCACGTTAGGGAAGCTCAACCATTACAGAAGGGTTGCAGCTACAGTCAGGTATGCTGAAGATATTAAATGATATGGAATGAAATCAGTCGATTTCGGTCAAATAAATTCATTATTTTTCTCCAGTTTAAGTTACGGTATAAGTACGTATATTTCACTTTCTGATGTTATTTTTTTCTTGATTCGACTTATTCAATTTACCAACAATATTTTTAGAACCATCCTAACAATCAAAGCTTAGTCTAGTGGTTTATATATGTGCTGTCAACCTTTCAGTTTTCGATAAAATAATCATGACTGAATTGTATTAAAATACTGAGTGAGTATAATCCATCTAGATTTATCATTAATAGTTTATTTCACTCCTCATTAGTTTGTATACAACGTGATAATATGAATGTACGAAAATAATACAAAGGTAAACGTGATTTACAGCTCACATGTGTAATTTGATTGGATTTAATTTTTCAACATACATGTTTTACTGATTTTGGAACTAGTTAATGCACTAAATTCTAAATCTTAAGTTTTTTTCAATGGTTATTGTAAGGATAATCTTTTCCTTGAAAAATATTTTTTTTGAAGCAGTAATTTATGACAGAAGTAAAATGATTCTCACTGTCTTAAAGGTGTCAATAATGAATAGTTAATTTAATTTATTTAATAAGTATATGTTTATGTATTGGGCTTCAAGTCACGAAGTGTAAGGGATAATGATACTTCCAGGTGATCCAAACGGAAGTGAATGGGATGGCTTTTGTACGTATATGTGATTGGTTAAAAGCTGGGTGCTTAAACCATTAAGTTAGGTGAAATATTCCCTTTTATTTCTTAAACTCCAACTATAGGTGTCACCATCACTTAAAAAGGGGAGGTTCATTAAATCTATTGACTATCGTTCTATATAACCAAAGAGGTTTTCTTTCTTTTTCTTATGATCGAATTAGTTAGTGTAGGGAATTTATCGATGAAAAATATTCGTATATTTTGAAAAAACCAATTACTTTAATTATTTCACAGATAATTTTCATTGTTCAAAGGAGTTAAACACGAAGTGTTATTGAGAATGGTTTTTATTAGATTTACACATTAGCGAGAAGTATATTCGGCTCATGAAAAAAAACCCACATTTGAACTGAGTAATGTAGACTACTTATTCCATTTATCGAGAGTTCGACGTTTGTTCCTTGTGTCTGATATTGTTGAAAATGTGCTTCTTTCAAGTATCAACGTCTTCCAATGAATTCTATCTATCATTACTATGGCAATGACAAGATTCAAAATGTCAGATTATTGAATTAGAATAGAGACCTAGTAAACATTTGATGCTGTTACACATTCAATAAAAGAACCCAGATCGATCACTTAGAACCAGTTGTTGTTGATAAGTGATGGAGAGAAAAGAAATAGAATCTGTTCTACAAAAATGTTTGTTTTTGTATTAAATACATAATTTTTCTTTTGGCTAAACTCAGAGTATAATATGAAATCATAGATAAATATTCCAAACTTACTACTTTTAACTATTTTGTAACTGTGGTCTATTTGATTTTCAATAAACAACTTACTTAAAGCACTTGTATTTAAAGATCTGGCACTAATAATACCGCGATTTTTAGGTGGTGAATTCAATAATTTTCTTCCAACACTTGAATTTAGACCACGTTGACTTCTATTGATTTCTTTTGGCATTATAGTAGAATTAATTCTTGCAGATTTTTCTAAACGATCATTTATCATTTCAGTATTATTTATTGTTTTTGGTTTGAATGACATTACCCTTAAATAATTAGAAACGATATCAGGATCAATCATAATCTGAAAAATAAGTTAGAAAAAAGGGTAATTTAAATGAATTTCTTTTATATCAGATTTATGTATCAATAGTAAGGCAGTGTAATTTACCATATTTCGCAAAACTCATGGAAGAAGGTAAGAAAGGTGTGAAAATACTAAAGACAACAGTGATGTAGGTCGATAACGAAAAATTGTAACTAACACGTAGGAAAAAGTTCAACGTTTACAAACATATAAAGATCGATTGCATAGTTATCTTTGTAACTGATTCTATGTCACAGGAACTTTTATTTCCGAACGCCTTTTTACGCCATCCTAAAAACTTCAACTAAAAATGTCCACTTCATTATGCATGATTTAAACCGACTGTTATTACTTTCATCAGCTGATATTGTGTACTTTTTTTAACCCTATTCCACTTCCCCCAACATCCTACCTGTGAATAAGCAGTGGCTTGGAAAACGTGACATGTAATTCTGTCATGGTAGTTTATATAGGTCTACAACTTCGTCAATCGATTTATTCTTAGTACCTAAAACTAAACAAATTAATTCATTATGACCCATTTTGCTATTCTATTACGCGTAAACAATTTTTTGATGAAACATGGGATCAACTGCCTGTTATCCATAAACGTTTTTCCTTTTTAAGGAAAGTTACACAGTCAGAGTAATACAGAGAGAATTACTATTTCCTACACTTGGCTTTAATAATTGTTCGCGTATTTCATTCGAAATTAGTAATGAGTTAGTCTGGAAAATTTTAAAGCAGCTTTCTGTATTCTTATCGAGATGTTTTTCAGTGATCACATTATTATGGTTAATAAGTCACTTCAGATAAGTCAAGTCCTATTCACTTTCAATCACCATTTATACTCACGTGGTATTCTGTCCACATGTTTACTTTGCCAAATAAATGCGATTCAGTCACTAGGACGATAATAACATACATGAATATATTTATTCCTGTGGAAATGGAAATCGCATCTAGTTTCTAACAGATTTGTTTGAAGTATTTACATTTTTGGAAAGTGTGTACACAAAACCAAAAGATTTGCTCATCCTTGAACTTTGATAATTAGCCTTATTATTGGTGACTTACTCACTTCTTATAAAGATTTCTTCTTAATAGTATTTTATACTATCTGAACTGTAGATCCTTTAAATTATTTTGAAAAATTGTACTATATTTCTCGTACTTAAATTTTGGTCAGACTTTATTGTTATGTATGTGAAGACATTTTCAAGCGTCTTACAGGTAGCTTGTCTTTACAATTCTGCTTTGTATTCTCTTCAAGTTTAACAAAGTAAATTAAACTGTACTAAAGATAGTGCATAATAGTATACTAAAAGAGTGAAATTCAGTACAACAGCTATCCATATATGTGGCATCAGTCGAGGAAATACTATAAGAAATCATATTCATTATAATTTTTCAATCCATTTCGTTACAAAATACGAGCAGCTTTAAACAATACTTTTAAGAATGCAATTTCTTTCAGAATAATAATATTCAAGTTTATTGAAACTCACATCGTAAGTAGCCAAAGGGGATTTTAGATCTGAAGGGAAATCTTCCATTGTCACACCAGATGGAGATTTTTCTTTAGCTATTTCTATACCACAAACAGTATTTAAACGAACTATATTATGCAACTTTTGATTCTGATATGATCCAACACTGTCATCTGGAAAAGCTTTGTGCCGTCGTATTTGAGAAAATGAAGATTTGGGTCGAGCTATGGGTGATGTAGGTGGTGTGAATTCCTTATTTGCATGTGGTCTAACGTTTTCATAATTGCTAACACTTCTTAAGTCCGGTTTGTAAGCAGGTACACCAATGTGATTTCGCATTTCTGGTTGCTTCTCCTGTGGCTCGTTGTCTCCTTTAACTTCAAGTTGTGACATATCATATGGTGGAACTAGCCAAACTTCAACAGTTCCAACATGATATAGTTCATATATTTTCATTACAAATTCACTAGACCCTATCAAAACAAATAGTACAGAACATACACAATACAATATTTGATATTTAACTAACATAAATTTACTCAATTCAACATATATATTTTATCCTGGATAGAATTTAACCCTAAATCTAATAATAGCTTGAGAGTGTCGGATACTTTTGTATTCTATCTTGAAACGGCTCATACATATGAATTCTTGGTCCCATTTCAGGTTGAATTTCAGATTGCAGCAATCAGGGTGCTACTGGAGTATCGGGTTATAATCAGATTAACTGCATTTTTTAATTTGAATTAAATGTACGTACAGCGTGATAGGAAATTCATGCATATGTAAAAGTGGTAAATTTTTGAATTAATTAGGAATTAATGAGTATAAATCCATACGTCCCACCTCTGTCACTGAAGTTTATTTAGGACCTTGAGCTCCTTTACTGTCAATATTGGGATTTAAGAATGGTTTGTTAATCTACTGAATCTATAATCAACTACTCTATTAGTCGTTCACATATGAAAATTATTCACAGTCAAATAACCTATGTAGTCTTTTACTAATTAAATGTGAATGAATTCAAAGGAGTTATTACTTGTCTTCAGATGCCCAAATTGAAATATAAATTCAATAATTAACAAAAAGCAAAATAACCTTCGACTGAACCTGCGATTTAATTCCAAAGATTCTTCATATTTAATACATTTGCTTTTTATCATACTTCAATTGAAAAATATATTTCTGAACTAGAGTATTCCCTAAATCTGTGACAGAGAACTAAAAGGGATTCAAACAAATGTTTTTTTTATCTTGCTGATATTCATTGAGATGGATAAGATAGAAGATTTTACCCATTTTATTTTTATATAGCATGGATTTCTTATTGACCGTCATTTGTTTTCAGTGGTACAGATTAAAAATGACCCTCAGTTATTTCTGTTTACTCAAAATCTAGTTTTTATGTTATTTGCCATTTAATTTAAAAATAAATGGCTGCTCTTTGAATTAGGTCATATGATTATTTTAGATCAACACATCATAAACATTTAATTACTACTTAATATGCTTCATCTACAATGATATAGATTAAATATATGAACCTAATTCCTTATTGGATTATATAACATAACCCTGGTCAGCTAGACCTTCAACTCAGTGACGAGATACTTTGACAAATAATAGCATAAACTTCGTTAATTATACTTTGACTTTACTAAACCCGTTTAGTGGTCCGAAGTCTGACTCTAATTGGATTGTATGCTGACTATCATCGGAATACACCTGTCGGCTATCCTCGTATATAATCATCAACTAAAATCGCGTTGGTAAATAATGGAATTCGATAAGTCAAATACGATGATGGATTTTTGAATACATATATTTTGTACACTCACTTATCTGGACAATAAATGAGAGGGATGAGGCGAATAGAAGAGAGCGAAGCGAAACGACGCACGGTGAAGAAGGTGGGTGGACCAAATCCATCGGGCGTCGTTTCTTTTCATTTTGCTCTCTCTTCGCTTCGTTCGCTGCGATTCTCTGATTGTCCCTTCCGATCAACGAGTGTACAAAATGTACGTATTCAAACATCCATTTTCGTATTCGACTTATTAAATTCCGTTATTCACCAACGCCAGTTAAATCGGTAATTTTATACGAGAATTGACCATATGTATATTTCAATAACGATAATCATACGATATAACTGGAGTTAGAACAAGGGGCCACACCCGTTAAGTATTTTTTACAACTGTATATAAGTGGGTTTTTTATTAACAGTGATAGAACCGATGTGAAAAAGTTATGTTAATAATCATATTATTACTACTTATTTCTTTATTTTCTATCATAGTTTCGAAACGATTAAATAAATCTTGATTAATGATTGTCGGTGAAGATGGCTGGTCTTTTATTGATTTGTTTTCTGTAATTGTAACATCCAAACTTTTACTATTTTCGAGTGTTTTCATTGTCTCTTCATCTACTAAAATAGAATCTTCCATAAATTCATTAACGTTGTCATTCTGGTAAGCTGGATCCTGAGGAGTAGGTTTATTTAACAATTCTGATAGGTACTGTAATCTGAAGGGTAAAAACACTCATTTATTAGATATAGGCCAGTAAGTTTTAAAAACCAATACATTTATTCTATAGGTGACTTCTAGGAGTTGAGGTATAGGCGTTTACTATATATATATACAGAGATTCTAGAAAAACATGACTTTTAAATGAGTTTTACATTCATTATTAACAAAAAGAAATATTAGATGCTTTTTGATGGTAAAAAATTCAAATGGAATGTTGAGTGAATAAGGCTGCCTGTCCTAACGTTCGGCTTACTTATTTTCCAAGCGCGTAACCATGCTAATTAACCTTTCGATTTCAGATTCACTCGAACTGGATAATTATGAGTACTAACTGTATATACTTAAGCGTCGGGTAACGGATTCCCTATTGCCTCTAGCCATTTTCGTGAATTCTGCCCCCAACATCTCATACATATAATCTCAGTGCTACACCATCCCCAGTCAAGTGAGCAAACAGAACAGTTTCTGGACACCTTTTAAAGAGTGTTGTTAAAATCAGGGGGGACGCCCGTCAATATATTGCACAACTTTTGTTTTATGTACCGCACTAGACAAAATGACTAATTACCAAATCGGGAATAATTATTGGAAATCCTTGTGGGTTAAGGGATGAGAACAATTCACCATATGATATTACCTAAAAGCATTACCTGTGAGAAAATAGCATCACCAGAAGCCTCGGTATTAGAAGTTGGATCTTCTGTGTGCCGCGAGTGAGCAGTTGATCAAATCTAGCGATCCACCAGTCACAATTTTCTTTACGTTTCTTCTACCCTGTGTGTAATTTTTCGTACTTAGCTTAGTTTCCTAGGCTTTGATCAATGATACCTTAGAGTTAACAAGACTAAACTTGAACTGAAGTCGAGATAATCTTAACTTCTATCAGTCCACTTATATGCACAACTTCTATACCCAGTTCTGAATCCGATGAGAAAAAACAACAGACAAGGTTCTATTATTTATATTTATTTATATTCATTTTGAACACACATTAGTTGATGAACATTAATTATCAGACGGCACCGCATTACCAAGAAGAAATACTTTGCATACGATCATGCCATAAGTGACAGAGAATGGAGAAACAGCAAATAGTCTATTGGTAATAATTAAAATTAGCAGGTCTGATGGAAATTCACAGTACATGGAATATAGAAATACGATAATCCTATTACCTAGTAATTATATAGTGAAAATGTAAACAATAATAGTCCGTAAAATAGTTCCACAAGTTATAATTATCTAAATATTCGCTTCTTCATAACGATTTGTTCGTCCAAGGTTACAGACCGAGATATGGTACGTTGATAGAGGTGTTTGTTGTAAGAGTACTAGGGCAAGTAATCTATGAGGTGGAGGTTGGAAAAGACTAATGGATGCGACATCTCATTTAGTTACGAAGACGTGTATCAACGAAACGTACGACAGAAATAGGCAACTTGTCACGAGAAATGCCAATAGACACCTTCAGCTTACTGCAACCCTCGACTGACACGCAAGAAAGAACAAGGGTTGAACCTCTAGAACAAGTGAATTTGCATCCCAGAGGATGGTTGGGCAAACAGCGGCGGCAGGGTGTTCAATTCTATGTGTACTCAAGAGGAACACGTTATTAATAAGAGGATGTGTTGAGAATTCCTGATTCCCAAATACAATGTGTAAGTAAGAAACCAACCTTATTTTACATATTGATTTAAGTTAGTTTCCTTTCGATCATTTTAACGTATTTCATCATTCAGAGTAAATTCTATTTATTAACTTTCGGTGTATCTCAGTTGTGATTAATAATTTGATTCTCAGTAAACTGTTCCTCTATTGATGATATCACTACAATTTTATGCTCATTAATGGTTACTTATTTGGTGAAGATTTCTAATTGATTATCATTTAGTTGAAATACAGTTAAATCAACCTGTCATTGTTTACTTCTTTGTTTTGTTTGTCTTCCAATGGGAGATGACAGGTTTATGACCAACAAGAACCAATCAATATCGAGATGTACAGGACAAGCAGTGGACCACATGTGAAGAAATTTGAACACTTCACTCCTACCTGAAGTTTGTGCTGATGATGAAAGCTCCACGACTAAACCATTCATTTCAGGGAACAAAACTCCATCAAGATCATCCGCCTGAGCTAGAAATCTTCTCCACCATCTCAGTAGCTGTTTTATTTTAAATAAATGTTTTATACTGGGATGAAAATTGTTTGTATATAACTGGGATTGGTAATAAAATAGATATCTTTTTAAATCTATGAATTTTGTATGCATTAGGCAAGATTACGATGGGTTATACCTGATAATTCTATCCGATTTCAGTTTAAGTTATGCAATCTCCGATATTCATTATTAATGAACTGAATCATTAAAAGTTGAAATTATTCAAAGAACTGCCAATGAAAACTAAACATATTCTATGAAAATGATTTTTTTTCATTGTATTCGTTCGTTAAAATGGAGAAAAACAAACAAACTGAGGATAAAACCAGTCTAAGTTCGCAGATGGGGTAGATGGAAATTAGTGTTATTGATGAGTACCAATGTTATTCCTTAAACCAATATCAAACAAACGAAATTAGAATTATCCAACAAATTTTACAAATGTTTAGGAACTTATACTACCTAGAAGAAAAATCAAAGAATGAGTACCTTACTATAACTAACCATAACAAATAATATAGGGAATATTTTCGTGAAAGTGATACTCTACCAATACTCTACCAATACACAGTGGACAAAACAGACATGAGTCCTTATGTTTCAGTTTTTTCACTTTCAATTCTCTATCTATTGGTAGGTAATACCAAAAACTCATAGACTGTTATACAAATAAATAAACGAGCCTATACTTTTACAATATCAAAATATTGTCAACTAACTTTATAGCATTGCGTTCAGAATATTTGTCTTCCAAAGATTCTATTGGTTCAATTTTAACAATACATGATGTATCTGACAGTAATTCATGTAATTGTATTCTTGCATGTTTACTTAATAATTCTGTATGTGATAATTTTTCCGGTTTTATTTCATTTGTCAATTGTTCAATTTGTTTATTCAATTGAATATCCAAGTCAAAATTAATATCTGATAATTTAATTGTTTCATTGTTTTCTAATGTTATCAATTCAGAAGATGTGGAATGATTGATCAATAGTTCTTTTTCTTTATTATGAATACATTTTGTATATGGATCAAATTGACTAGTTGATTTTATTTGTATATCACCATGAAAACGTAATTCTAAACATAAACCATTCAGCATTAATATATGATTAATATCATATCCAGTTACACGATAATATTTTATTTTATTTACTTTCTATGAATATTTAAGTGGAAGAAAAGAAAGAGAAAAAAATAATGAACCAAATAAGTCAATGGACAACAATTGATAACATTTTAGACAAAACAAAACAACAATAAAATTGGTCAGAATGGGTTTTGTGGAGATTTTAGAAATTTCACTGATTGAAATTATGAATCAATTGAAGCTAGACCACCATAGAAAACCTGGAAGCACTAGACGGCCGTTTCGTCATAGTATGGGACTCCTCAGCAGTGCGCATCCACAGTCCCGCCTCCCGCGAGATTCGAACCCAAGACCTATCAGTCTCGCGCCAGGTGTCTGAACACCTAGACCACTGAGCCGGCATCCAACGGTAGCGCAACTTTGTGGACTGGTTGAAGTTAGACATTGACAACGTTGGGTGCTGGCTCAGTGGTCTAGTTCGTTAGGCGCCTGGCGCAAAACTGACAGGTCCTGGGTCCGAAACTCGCGGGGTGCGGGGTCGTGGATGCGCACTGCTGAGGAGTCCCATACTAGGACGAAACGGCCGCCCAGTGCTTCCAGGTTTTCCATGGTGGTCTAGCTTCAATCGAATCATGATTTCAATCAATAAAATTGGTATTAAAACTCCGTTGTTGTTTTTTTAAAGGAGATTAAATAGATCGATTAAAATGGAGTTGGATTGTTTGTATTATTAATTAACATTTATTTTTACTTATAAACAGTACATATAGTAAGAGGTCATTAATGAACGTTAATACATAGTTGACATGATAAAAATCATGTAAGAAACATTAACTATATTGAATTCATAGGATAGAAAAAAACATTGAGAACAAATAATAAACAACAATGTAAATATTATTGAAATAACAAATACAAAATACTTCATGAACTTATAAACAAAGTTTATAACATCTTTTTTTAGTTAAAGCTATTAGACCTACTAGCACCTCAGCTCCAGGCCCGTAATAAAGTCCGCAAAATAACACCCTTCCTCCCTTCTGGTTGGCAGCGACACCATAATATGGTGAATACGAACACAAGTGGGGACAATTGAATGTACTCTAAGATAACATTAAAGAATATTTTATTAAAATCTGAGAACCATACCGTAAGTACTTCATTTGTAAGATATCTGTCAATCGTCTCAGACTTGATTGTTCCTTCGTTTCCACACTAATCATTCTCTGTTCTCATTCACTTTTCTTTGATCTTAATTTTTTACCGCCAAGTATTTCACTTTCGATTGATGATACATACTACTATCTATCGACATCAGTAGCACACATCACACTATAACTAATCATTTATTTTAAAAATGGCTTTCATTACAGACTGGTATAATCTGAAACAAATAGTAAAACTTTTTTTCTATAAAACTTAAATACACTCTTTACTTTTTCTCACAAGATATTGGTCGAAAGTTGAATGGGTTGACTTAATTCAGTAGTTCATTGGCTTATAGTCCATTTTATAGTCTAAATCTCTTTATAACTTTTATTTCAAAATTGATCTTGACCTTTTAAATTATTTAGTTTCATTTATTACGTAATTTATATCGTTATAACAAGGGAAGCTTTAATTATCTACAGAAATATTTAATAAACTTACTTCATTTTTAACATTTCGATTACATTCTATTGTTTGTAAGATTGCATTATTTAATCCGATTGCTTTCCTGACTACTCCAGTACTAAACTTTAAAAGAAATATATGTATGCACTGAAATGAACTGATAAAAAGGTGTTATAACAAAGCAATTCAAATGCCTTAATTTTCACTTATGTATTTGAACACTCAGAATAGTTTACAAGTAAATTACTAGTATGAATTTTGCTTGTTAGGATTGATAATTCTTTAGGAATCCATCAGTCAGATGATAATAAAAACTCTTATGATTGTGATTGATGAAGGTTATTTTAAGTCTTGTTTATTTATTCGGATTATGAACTTCCCGTAAAACCAGCAGGACTAGAAAACTACTTCACATTTGTGCATGCACTACTTATAAACGTGAATGTTTTTTAAAGTTATTAAGTCATTAAGTAAAATTCTAAATAACAGTATGTAGTCAGATGATGGTTCAAAAGTTTGTATCCTACTCAAGTATGTTGAAAAAGGATTTTCAGTACATAGTTTAGTGGATTCTGTAACAAATTATTGATTTGAACATGACAGGAATAAACAGATTCGTTGAATTAAATGAATTCATTCCATGGATTTTTATCACTTCTATACAGATTAAAACTTCAGCTAATCAGTATCAATAATAAATATATGACAATATATTGAATACCCTAAAGATGCTAATTGTTTAATGCAAGAAAAATGATAATATTTAAATTATAATTTTATAGTTGAACTCATGAGTCAATTGAAGCTAGACCATCATGGAAAACATGGAAGCATTGGAGGGCCGTTTCGTCCTAGTATAGGACGCATCAGCAATGCTTATCCACGATTCCGCCTTGCAAGATTCAAACCCAGAAGCTTTCGGTGTCGCGCGCGAGCGCTTAACCTCTAAACCACTGAGCCAACATTCAACCGTGTTAATATCTAACTTCAACTAATTCACGAAATTACCCCACCGTCCACCATTGTCTTCAGTGAGTTGCTATCTCACAGCAGACCCGGCTGAATTCGACTGGTCACTGCTTCAAAAATATCTACGGTAATTTGCAAGTTATCTTGACTGTTTACAGTTGAAAACTGACCATACACTAAAAAAATGAAACCATTCTCTCTTCGAAAATTCATCTCTTTTTCTTTCTTGTTTATGTTCACCAAAGAAAAACGTATGAATGCAAAATATTGATTAGTCAAAATGACTATAAAACCATTTTTTTTAAAGTGATATAAAATAATTGATTTAAAGAACTATTTCAGTGCATTCATTTTCTTAATTTTACAATCTAACAGTGGAGAAAATTTGTAGCTCAGGTGGATGATTTTGGTGCAGTTTTGTTCTCTGAGCTGGATGGTTTGGTCGTGGAGCTTTCATCGTTCTTCTGAACGACATCATCAACACAAACTTCAGATTGAAGTGAAGTGTTCGGATTTCTCCATATGCGTTTCACAGCTTGTTCTTTACACCTCAATGTTGATTGGTTCTTATTGACCCTAAATTTGTCATTGTTTACTTCTTCGTTTTGGTTGTGCCTCCCATTTGGTTTGATTTTTGTTCCTATATTTGTACATGATTTTCCAATCAGGAAAATCATCAGCTCAGAGAACAAAACTCCACCAAAAACAATCTAACAGTAAATTTTGTACAAATTCGAAAGTTCAGCTGTTCAAGTAAATAATAACTTACCGTTTAAAAGTTACCCTAGATCAAGAATGAATTCTCATTTACAAAGTGGTATTTACAAATTGGCTATTAACAAAGTTTAAATTCTTACTTATTTCAAATAGTTGAAAACGTCTGGTAAGCACTGAATTATTTGGTTGATTTCATTGAACTCTAACGGTCACGAATCCTCAGTATATCTTTGTTAATATATTTTGAAGTTAGTCACTAATGTATGCCTCAATTTAATGGTTTAAAATTAACTCAATCGTCAATATATATGAATGTTTAAAATTAAGTCTTTTACAGAGTCATTTATGTGCACTTCTGAAGAGTTCACATTTTGAAAGAGACAGCTATCCAGCGCTCCCTTGCCTTCAGTTATAATTCAGTTTATGCTAGATAAACTTAATGGCTTCTGAAGTCAAGTCCTTAGATTCCAGCGTTTGGTATTGCTTTTTAATTAATAGTTCATTCCTTTAGTGTCTTATTTGTTTTGACTTTGCTCCTGTCGCTTATCACGTGACAAAATCACCAATCAGAACACCGACCTATATGACCTTGTCTCTGTGCTAAGCTAATGATGCGTTAACCAGTACGAGCAGCCTTGAGTCAACTCTTAGTCCTTATCGGTATTCTGTATAGCAGTTTCTCGCCTAACCCTGCCTGCTTAGTCGAGAATGAAATCTCAACCTACATTGTATGAATAATTTATTTCAGAAGCATGTAGTTTGTACACAAGCAAACCAGATCCCATCATACCATGAAATAAAAAATAACAATTATACCAGATCAGTCCCAAACGTGGCTGTGAGTGTGAGAAACTGTAACTAATCGATTGAAAATAACTTGAGAATAGTAAATTGTATAATAGTAATAAATAGGTCAGATGACATTTTCTGATAAATGGAGTGTGAATATAAACATAGACTAATTACTTAATAGCTATCCAATAGGAATATATATATAATAATAATAATAATCTATAAATAATTCCTAGCGGTTACGATTCATTTATTCATCGTTCGAAAGTAACATTATTAGCTTTAAGTAAGTCCATTTTATCTACTTAATCACTTAGAGCTATGGATTAAAACTGAAGTTCTAATAATTTTCAGATTATTTAAGAGCATTAGTTTTTTGCCAAAATTATGCTATATAGTAGACAGGGATCGAATACTTTTAGTGTTTATGTAATTATCATTGAAGTTACTCTCTTTTTTGGCATAAATTTATAAGGAGAAAGTAAGCCAGCTTCGTACAGTTACGGCCTACCTAATAACACCTCTTATATAAGCTTTACTTTCAGTCTAAAATTAGTTTTGTTTAGTATGTCACATATTAGGCTGAATTTATTACTTTTGATTATTTTATATTTAATATGAAGTTATAACTAAGTGAGCTTAATGAGTTTTCGAATTTCTCCTGCATAATAAGCAAAGATGGATAGTGGCTAGCAGTGGAATCCCGGACGCGAGTTTCATCCTAGTTTGGACTCGTCAGCTGGATGTACCTACACCTCAGGGACTCAAACCCAGTACCTTTCACTTCAAACCCCATCGCGTTATCCACATAGCTACTGAGTCCTGATAGCCACTTGCTTGTACAATGAGGTGAAGTTCAATTTACTTGATGTTGTTTTACTTGAATCTTTCCATTGATGTTTAGGACTGAAATTGATCAGTCTCTTATTGTCATATGTACATACCGTGCGTATTGCCTCGATATTGCCTTAATTTACAAGCATTATAAGCAAAGATGGATAGTGGCTAGCAGTGGAATCCCGAACGCATAGATTAACATGATGAATACAAATTACTGAAATCCTCGAAGTAACAGGGATTCCTACTACTTATTACAAACTATTGTTTTAAATTACAACTATTAAGTGAAAATACTAACATTGAGTATTAAACTTTAACGGTATTTAAATTAAGAAAATAATTTTCTACTTACTTGAACAAGTGGAATAAAACCAGTTGATATTAGTTTTTCAATAATTTCATTTAATCGTTCTTCAGGATAAACGTTAGCCATAATTTGCCAATTATTTGCTGTTATATGTAAGCAAATCAGTATTGCACCGGGTGGAGCATATGCTAATGATTCAATTTGTGTCATCAAGTGCTCTAATTTATCATTTGTTTTGCGATCTGAATTTCGTGCTCCTACCATTACAAATCTTCATTTGTATAGCATAACGATAGCAAACAAAACAGTTAACATAAAGATTAAAATGACAAGACATAATATCATAAGTCCAATCAATCAGTTTACTGAACATTATTAAACGACAAGTTATTTTCTAAACAAACATATATCATTGAGACCTGAGGTATCATGCACCCAATAAAGTAGGTCATATGCAAATGAAAGTTAGTATATCTTCACACTTTCGTAACGAAGTAGTTTGTAGTTATTGTTCAAAGGATTACTAATGGAACAATTGAGTAAATCTTATTAATTTATCATAAATACATAACTACAAACAACCTACTTGTGAGTAGTAAAGCTATATCAAGTAAATTAATTGATGATGTAGATGGTTTAGAGACAAGTAAAATGTATTGTGGTTGTAATTCAGAAACATTTTAATTACATGGAAGACACAGTGATAACTACCAGTATTGAAATTTAAACAGTCAAGCTAAACATTCATGCGAACACAGAACAAAACTAAATTAATATCTCTGAGAGGTTACATATAAAATCAAGAGAATATAGAAACAAACTAACTGAAATTGAAAATGAACAAATATCTACAAATGAAAACATTTCTGAGATGATGGGTATAAGGGAACTGGTTAAATGTAGATAAAAATAATCTCAGAATTGTATGGAATTTAAACAATGATTCAAATAGTAAAAGGAACTAATTAATTGAAGCGAAACGTGAAAATTATAAAAATAAAATAAGATGAATGTTTGAATGGAATCATCTGACAACTATCTATGTAATAAAACAACAAAAGCCACTTTTATAATAAACTATCTTTACACGCATATCCACAGTGACTCAAGAAAATAAAACACTATGTAAACATTTTCAGCGATTCATACATAGTTAATGGTCTCTGCAAAAACATCTAAACTCATTGTCATCCAACCATCGTCACATCTCACTCAATTGTTAATAGTATTAAATTGTACATTCCTCGACTAAATGTTAAGCTGAAACATAAATATGTAACACAAATAGTCTCCTAGTTGGTATTTCTTTAATATATATGTAGTTGAAGAACAAATAGAACTCAAAACAAGTGTCAACCAATATCAAAGTGAGAATCTTCAATACAAACATCTGAACAGTTCTGCTGTACGAAACTGAAACTTGGAGAACGACTTCAATCATTATCATATAAGTACAAGTATTTATAAACAATTTTCTAAGCAAGATATTTAATGTCTGTTGACTGGATGCCATCAGTAACAACTTATTATGGAAGAGAACAAACCAGTTTCCAGTCGAAGAGGAAACCAGGTAAAGACATTAGAGGTGGATAGGATATACATTATGAAAATCATCAAACTACATCACGAGGCAAGCCATAACTTGTAGTCCTGAAGAGAAGAGGAAAATAGGAAGACTAAATAAAACAACTATGTTGAGAATCGGAAGCAGACATGAAAAGGATTTCCCATGATACAGTTGAATAGAGAATGCTGATCGGAGGCTTATGCTTCTTCATGAAGTGGGTAACAGACGTAAGTAAAAAATATATATAACACTGAAAATATCACTATGGTTGAAATGAATTACAAAATGCATTAATTTTTTGCTTACCTTCCTAAAACTGTTGTATCAAATGAAATAGTTCTTTTAGTATAATAAACTGATTGTTTCATTGTTTGCCACAATCCACCTCTTATACCAACTAGTAAATATGACCATCCTAATTGCACAAAAATATTATCTATTTTACATTTCGAAGAATTCTTAGATTCTATACAATCAATATTTTCAGATGACTTCATCTTAAATATTTCCCTTTCGTCTATCTCATTAACTTTAGCACTTTGCCATACAATTTGTTTTATATATCCAGATGGCTATTATTAAGAGAATAAACAGGGATAAAACAGTTGTACTGGATAATAACAATAATAATAATAATAATAATAATAATAATAATAATAATAATAATAATAATAATAATAAAGAAATAACTCATATAGATTTATGAGTATGAATGTTTGTTTTTATATTGTAGAAATTATAATCTGTAGTAGTATGGTATGGGTTATGTATATCCACATAAGTAGTATATAACGGTGGTCAGGCATAAAATGTATTTCAATAGAAGATCGATGAGGAAAGAACGGAAACGGAACGCAATTGGTATGAAAACTTATGAACAATGAAATCTGAGACAATGGATTGATGTTTGCAACAGGAACAGTCAAGTTTGAGATGATGGATTAATATTTTGCAAATTAACTATTTACTATATGGTTCTCAGATTTTAGTGAGATGTTCTGTAATTTCGTACTTGTGTGCATTCGATTGTCCCCACTGGTGTTCTTATTTACTACAGTAGATTATCTTATTAAATCGTTTTTTGCCTAATTGAAAGGACATTCACATTCGGTTTACATGGTTTGTTGCGAGATTTACTTGTAGGGATTTAGGATGTTTTTAATTTAAACGTTTTATTAAACGAAATGACATAACACTGAGCTACCTGTAGCCCAGATTCACAATGACTTAGGAATTATTCTTATCCCAGACTTAAAGACTACTTCACACTACCGTGCAACAGCCGCCAAAGGTTTTAGAACTTTATGGTGTAGTGTCAGTTATTATGCCAAGCCCATATACCTTATTCTAGCTTCCGGACATCCCATTTTATTCATTCTACTAGAGCCATACTTTGACCTTGTTATTTATTCGCTTATCAATCTAGACTGTTTTTATATGAGCGTATATGTGTTTGCCCTTTTTATCCTATTAATCACATGTCTGTAGCTTTATTTTGTCTGACTATAAATATTGAGTAACGCTTGACTAAAATGGAGTTGGCTTCCCGGCCATCTTCCCTGCGTGTCATTTTGCTTTGCTCTGTTTCATTCGCTTCATGTACAAAATATATATATTCACAAGTCAATTCTCGTTATTTGACTTATTTAATTCCGTTATTGACTAACGTGATTTAATTAGACGATGATATACGAGAAAAGGCGATAACAATCATTTATACGATCTAAATAGGAGTCAGATCCACGGGCCACTACAATGGTCAATACGTAGGGCTTTTAGTCACGTCGACGATAAGACGTTTTTGACTTTGTATACAGTGTTTGTGCTTCCTAAACTTGAGTACCGCACAGTGAGCCTTTGGAAAAGGTTCAGAGAACAGCAACTAAGTTGGTTCCCGGAATAACGAAGCTCCCGTATGACGCTCGACTGGTCAAGCTAAATCTATTCGCGTTGTCATATCAGAGAACTAGAGGCGACTTGATTACTGATTTCAAATTGCTTAGTGATACGTTTTCACATGATATGCCTTATTTTTCTTGTCTTCCAAAACAAAGAATTTACGAGAACACTCCAAAAAAGTTCACAAGCCCAGAACAAATTACTTGTCAGCTGACTATCGACTTTCCCATCGAATCACCAACTAGTGGAATTCATAACCTCAGCACGTGGTTAAGGCCCTATCCGTTGACTTTCAAAAGAAAGTTGGATCAATTGAGAGGCCACTAGTGCCAGGACTAACACAGGCCATCAAGCCTCCTGTTCTTTCCAAACTGAAACTGATATGAAGTTTTGTGTTAGGCATCTATGACCTGTAGAGTTAAAAATTTGAATTCCGAGTAATGTCATATTGATAGTTTTGGATGGTCTGATGATATTATCAATGGATTAAGATTGAAAATAATATAAAGTAAACTTGAGTTCATCTAGCTTCTCCTAAATGACAAATCAGACAAAAAATATACAAAATGATATAGTTCTGTATGAATTTCTTAACATTAAACATAGTGAATAATTGTGAGATTTTAATAAAATTGCATGAATATCAGAAGAGGGTTTTTTGTGTGGATATTATAGTAATTTTAATAGTTGAGATCATGTGTCCATTGAAACTAGATCACTATGGAAAACCTGGAAACATGAGTATATTATACAATGAACAAAAATTATTAGTGAGTAAAAATATAATCTGAAATAGGAAAATTATTTGTGATATTGGTTTAGTTGGAAAGTAAGGGATTCAAAGATTTAACGAAGTGATCAGAAGTATTAACAAAAAGGTACATAAAATGAAACTACATTAAACAGGATATATGGACCTATAATCATGAAGTTTTCATTAAGAGGATAGAGTAATAGGTAATTGTATTCTAAGATATGACATTTTAAACCCGCGATTATTGATTTTTATTTTATTCTATTGCCTTTGTTCAAACAAACACTGTTTTAAAACATATTTTATACATGTAGTTAGTAATTTCATAGACTTAGGTTATGCTTTAATGTAGGAATTCATACGTTCAAAAAACTTTTACTCTAACTATAAACGTACAGAGTTATCAAGAGTATCATGCAATTGTACATAAGACAAGGTATCAAAATATTACGTTAGAAAACTCATTAGCCAATATAATAAACAATATTAACGGACGTCTACAAACATTCTAACTACCTACACATTCTCCAATAAGTTCTTGTGTATAATAGATTATCATTCATTGTTATATAAGGTAGCTAGGAACTACACTGCGTAGGATGAAGCTATAAACTTAACATAATTGAATTGAGATAATTCAAGTTTATAAACTACATAAACTTTTAATAAGTATAATCTTTAGTTTTATAGTATATTTCTAGTAAAACTTTAGTTAATTGATGAATCTTATCTTCTTTCTTCTAGTAACAGATCGAATAAAATGTTTTCATAAAGTATACCAATAAAAATTTGAGGCGACATACTTGAAACAGAATAACTAATCTCCTATCATCAGTAGATAATGTTACATTTGTATTTTTTATATAATAAACAGGTACATCTGGTAAACGATCCATTTCAATTCCATTTACAATTATATTAGTTTGTGTTAAAGAATTTAATGATTTGTTAAATTTGTTAATGTACCATTGAGGTAATGGTAAGTGTATTGTTGCAGGTCTTTTTAACACTATATCTTGTAATTGAAATTCAAAAATATCAGAACAACCTTCAATTTCATTGAGTTGAGAATCAAATTGACATGCTGAATTCAACCAAGTATTTCTTATTTCTATTTTCTTTGAAGTTACATATAACACAATGTAAATCGGAAAGAAAAATAAAATAAGAATCAAGAACATTGAAAGTTCATAAAATAATGATTTATATTTACCTAAAATAATGAATACAGTAAATTATAATTAGTGGTAAATTATTTTTTAAGGCGATTAGTGAAAATTTGTTAGAGCTGTAGATATATTTTTGTTATGAACTGACTATGAAAACGATTGACATTTTTATTTCCACACACTTGGAGGCGTCACAGTAGTGGAGCTTCACAAACCGAGCTCGTGACCTTCAGGTTTTGCAGTGATCATATTGCGATTAATTCTTTAAGTTTTAAATGTATGCCTGAATTTAGAAACGGAGGTTATTAATCCTATCTTAGATTCACATCGCTGTGGAGGTGAGGTGTAGAATACAAGAGTTACCCATTACTCTCTAGTTCCCATTGGTTATTTAATTGATGTCTGATTGTAAAACATGAAGGTAAAAACCTTTACCTATCTAGGCAGCATCATCGATGAACACGGTGGTTCTGATGCAGATGTGAAGGCGTGGATCAGCAAAGAAAGAGCAACATATTTACAACTGAAGAATATCTGCAACTCAAAGCAACTGTCAACCAACACAAAGGTCAGAATTTCCAATACAAATGTCAAGACAGTTCTACTAGTTGGGGCGGAAACTTACAGAACCACTAAAGCCATCATCAAGAAGATACAAGTGTTTATTAACAACTGTCTACGCAAAATACTTCACATCCGTTGGCCAGACACTATCAGCGACAACCTACTGTGGGAGAGAACAAACCAGATCCCAGTGGAGGGAGAAATCAGGAAGAAGTGCTGGAAGTGGATAGGACACACATTGAGGAAATCACCGAACTGCGTCACAAGGCAAGCTCGCACTTGGAATCCTCAAGGTCAAAGGAGGAGAGTTAGACCAAAGAACATAATACACTGAGAAATGGAAACAGACATGAGAAGAATGAACAAGAATTGGGAGGAAGTAGAAATAAAGGTGCAGGACAGAGTAGGTTGGCGAATGCCGGTCGGCGGCCTATGATCCATTGGGAGTAACAAGCGTAAGTAAAAAAGTAAGTAATCATAAATCTCAGTGAAATCACGGTGAATATTGCTTTCGTATTATTTTACCAACCTTTTTTCAAAAATCATCTCTCTTTATATCCAGTATCCGTTATTATGACAGTAATTGTATTTATACGTCGTTTCTACAAATATTTGTGACATTTATCATTTTTAGTCCTCATGATTGTAGTGAAAAAAATTCAAAGAGAATAATTAAATCTACAATGACATAGTCATTTTATTTCTTATTACGATCTTATCCATTCAGAAGAAGAAAGGATTATGAGAACATTGAGTAATATCCATTTATACAGCTATCCAATTTGTTTCTATTTGTCTGCCTGATAAGTTATCTTTCTCTTAAAGTAGATTTCAGATAATTGTTTAAGTCTGTTTATGTATTGATACATGATTCATTGGAATACTGGGCTGTGAAATACATAGTTTTACTATTAAAATCTTAGAATCTGGAATCTTCATCCTTCCAAACATATAAGTCTTAAAATAAAAGGAACCAAAAGGAATCCTACTGAGAATAAATTTTCTTCCAGTTGTAATCATTCTCCTACTTCACTTTTATTGGAATATTTTTATGTTATTATGTATAATATTACTGAATAATCAGTGTTAAGTTCAAATGAAATACTGTGATGTTTGAATGAACTAATGATTCTTTTATACTTGTTGAATGCTTGATTTCGAATTCTAAATACAGTACATTCGTTTTTGCCTATCTAGTATTTCTTTATCTGATTACGTTATTTCTGGGATTCTTAGGTCATACTAAAATTCAAATAATTCGAAACATTATAAATACTCACTTTGAAAATAGTTTGTTCAAAAGTAGGACAGACGCGTTTTGGTATACGTACAGATAAAAATGGATCAAGTAATGGAGAGAAAAATAATCCACCATTAGGATTGATATAAAATTGTTCTGCTTTAGTTGAGTTCACTAGCATGTAACAATGATTTAGTTCTTCTGTGTGAATGAAAACACCACCACAATAGTTTTCAATTTTATTTACAAAATCATACGATAAGTTTTCATTTTCTAATCGATTATCATTTTGTTTAACTCTAATATTGTCGAAATTACTTTTCTTTAATAATAATTGTCCCAGTTTTATTGAAAGCGAAGAGAAATTCTCTGAAGCAGTATTGTTTACTGACCATCGACTTGTTTGTGACGTTAATTCACAAGCTTCTAATGGCCAGTCGATATAAGGAATTGTTGGTTGAACAATCTAAGAACAGTAAAATAATATATTTCTTGCATCAAAGAAATAACTTATAAATCTTTAATTTCGGTGTAGGTAATTAATAACTCTTAAATATCATTATCAGTTATATAAACAACTCAGTGTTCTGGGTTGTAATGAAATTAGTATAGCTTGTCACGTTATAAAGTGGTAGAGATGGTTAATCAACAAGTGAATTGATAAAAACATTGAATGGTGAATTGAACAAATGATCGAATGCGGGAAAGAAAAAAACGTACTTCGGTCAAGTATGGTTTATTTTAGTCTAAAACAAGTCATTGATCTTATGTGATCTAACAGATTTTAGAAATTAAAATCTTTTTTCTACTTGGTCCAACTATTAGTTATAATCTCCTTTTACTTTAAGTACTATCTCTCATTGATTTAATATAAATATATAATCTAACCTGACTGTTTCGGACTAAACAAATTTGTAAAACTCACCAATTGATTTATTTGTGGTACCAAAGACCTTAAATTTAAATACGATACTGTTCATATAGTCGCTTGAGATATGAAAAATATCGTTCTTGTATTTTATATACTGGTACATACTGTAAAATACGTTAGTAAAGAGAAATCAAAATCATCTCAATGTTTAATGTCAACTATTGGTGCACTATGGGTAGTATTTTTAACATCATATGCAACGTAAAGCTGTGAACTAAATCCGGATTTTTCTTATTCACTGGTACGTTTTCTTAGTGAGCTGTACTGTGAATAATATAGATAAGTGGAGAAATTAATTAATCCAACAATACAGTTTCTTTAAATCTAACAATTTGTACATGCATGTCAGTCCTAAACTTTCGTCATGTATTCTAAGTTAATTCATGTTACATATTACATGAAAATTATGATTTCATTCGTGTATATCAGAATAATTAGATGATTGCTATAATTAGAAAGCATTCAATAACTGAAGATTATCCCTCTTTAACGAGTAAAAATCCTATTTTTGAAACATCAATATCCATGTTTTTTCATATACACATATTTATGTAAAGTATCTTGTTCAGAGCAGAAGTAATATTCCCTCTTTGAGATCTGGTCTACATATGTTCATTTACATTTCGTAACCAGCCTCTATTTTTACTAGAATTTTCTTCTTCTAAGAACAAATGAGTTTATAATCATTAAATGTGACAGGTAACGGACTTTATTGATGTTTGATTAATAGATCTATGGACATTAATTTTATTTGCTACTCATTTTAACTTAAAGTTAAATCTCTCTCGTATAAATCTTAAACCCATACACGAAGTCTGTGATTTATTTATGATTTTAAGGATGAGTTTAATGGAGTAAAGATGATTGTCATCTTAAGAATGCAGCTCAAATCACAATTCCTATTAAAATTATAAAAGTACAATTTCAGTACTTTAAGTACTCCAGGGATGAACTAATTAGTGATTTTATCTAGTCATTTTCGATTTTATGATAAAATAATAATATTCATTATCAGTTAAACTAAAAATATCATTTACCGTAAATTCTTTCACTACATGCCAGCAATCATCTCCAAGACGGCATTGTAGTAGGGAAACACTTCTAGCATTAATTAAACTAGGTGCTGTTGAAAGATGATTCCCAAAATGCATTGAGTATGGTGGTTTTCCTCTCAGTCTAGCTGAAGTTTTATTAGATTGAATACCATTATGTACTACAATGAAATAATAAGGACAAGTGATATATATCAATGTTTATTAGAATCTTCACAAGTTATCAAAAACAACTTATTAGTGACATACTCATCGACTCAAGGTGACTTATGATATCAACACAGAAAAAAGAAATTAATGCTTTAAAATAAGTTCAAGAAATAATACCCGTAATCATAAAAAATAAAATACGAACAGTATAGTTCATAAAGGGATAAGCGAATAGGGGAACGAAGAAAGTAGAACCATAGTGTGTTCAAAATTTAGAGTTAGATAATCTTTAGCTCTGTTATCAAACATAGATAGCTATTACCTTAAGAAACTCAACCAGGAATTTCTTACCTCGCAACTGCACTCAGTTGGATAACCAGTCACCTAATAGATTAACGTTATGTTGTGGTCTGGTTATCTTCTACATTTTGTCCAAAGTAAATCACGGAAATGTTTCATTGTTAACTTTAGGCTAAGTTTTTTTATTATTTGTCGTAAACGTTAATGTCATAAATAAAGTGAACAGAATATGTTTTAGGCTATTATATATGGTAGTAACGGGTTCAGAAAAAAGTCATTTGGTCGTAGACTATTACTTCGTTATATTGTCCAAGCTTCTTTAGAGAGAGAGAGAGAGATATTACAAGAACACGTAGCAAGCGAGTGACTCAGGGAAGAGATCTCTTTTAGGCGATTTCATAGAATGGAAGTTTTTTCTGCTATTCAGATATAAAAAAACGAGACACTGTCGTCATTTATTAAACAAACTGGTTAACCCAATACAATATAGTGGTAGTGTAAGTTTCTGTAGCTCAGTTCTGAGTACTTTTGTTATTTTATTGTCATCGTAAGAAGACAGAAATTTTATTTTAACTGGAAATTAAATTATATATAACTGAGTTCATGTATTGAAGTGGTTCTTCTCGATATTGCTAATTTTCTAAATAGAATAAGTTACGACGGTGTGTTATATCCTAGCGAAGATTAAATTATATGTAACTTAGAGCTATTAATGGACTAATATTATACATATATTCTTATTGTATTCCTATTGAGTAACGAGATTATGTATATTTATGCTCCTCTCATGATAAGCCTTATTTTGATTTATGAACTATGATTATACGACCAACTATTCTTAAGTTATACCCAGTTTATTAATTGCAGTCCCTCACAATCACAGTCACTTTCGGGCTTGGTCTTTTACAATTGTTATTTTTTTAATTTATGATGTGATATGGTCTGGTTTGTCTGTTTGTTTGTATATAGACAAAACCTATTGAAATAAATTATTCGTATAGTGGAAGTTGATGTTAGTGTTCTGGACCCAACAGTCAGTGCTAGGCAGAAAAGCGGCCAATAAGGACGCTAGACTGCTTATGCCGGTTGATACGTCACTGTTGTGGCACAGTAGTTCACGTGATAATTAGCCTGGTAAAAGTTACAACATAGTGCATATTGTTTTAACTATTTTTATATAAATCTTCGACATTCCATGATTCAGTATTAGTTATTTTATATTCATTGGTGTTCTTAATTATCATCCAATTAAATATCGTCTTCCATTCTTGTTGATTTTTGTTTTGTGTAACCGAAACTGATTTACCAGTCCAATTGACTAGATGTTATCTTACTTGTCAGTTAAATCAATAAATTGTGATATGTATATACAATAAATAATGTCATGTTTATAATTCGGAAATTCACCTTCAAGATCAGTTAATTATCAAATTACTATCTGATGAAATGAATGTTCATACTTCATAAATCATAAATCTCACATCTGATCATCCTCTCAATGAAACCAAGTCATAAATACTTATCAGCTTATTTTTATTTAGATGAAATGTTGTAGGATATAAACTATTTCAAATCATTTAGGAAGTAAAGGAATAGTAGAAATGCTTGAATGGATTACTGAATGAGCAATTATAAGTTATTTTGTAGATGTAAGTAATAAAATTTTAAATGTTGGGTAATATTTTATTTTAGCTTACATAAACTTTTAGAATCAGGTCTTTTTACGCTTTCAAATGGTATATTAATGGATCCGGATGGATGATACATTTCACGGGTAGCAGCAAAAGTGAAAGGGATAAATACAGCAACTGGCATTCTGAATCTGACAGGCGAATATAACATATGTATTTCACTTGCCATTCGCATATCTGGACCTAACCAAGGTCCTATAACTCCTCTAGCTGTACTTGGAAATGTTGCACAAAGAACTCGTTCACGACGTCCATTAGAAGCATATGGTGGAATTTCAACTTTAACACCGTGATCTGATAGGAAAAGACCACCAATCCTTTTAACTGGTACATTTTGTTTAAGAGGGCAACTTCTAAAATATTCAAAAACTGGTATATTAAATAGTGAGTTAAGGTAAATCAAAATTTATACTTATCCTCATTAAATAGGTTGATTTGTGTTATATGCTTCAATTGACTCATGATCTCAACTGTTGAAATTACTACAATCTCCAAAGAACCCCTTCTGATTATATGCTGTTATTTAAAATTATTAGTTTTCATTGCTAGATTTAGTAACGCTGGATAATAATAATAATTTTACGTTTCCTCAATAAATATCTGAATTTTTCATGTAGGTGGATACATTATGATCTAGGTATTGATATAACAGAGATTCGTAATTCAGATTCTTCATTTCTTTGATACTTTTAATTAACGGTATAGGGTCGTGAAGATTTTTGAGTTTTTGATTAAGATTATGAATCGATGAATATTGGACGATCGTTGAAAACCTGGAAGCACTGGATAGTCGTCTCATTTTAGTATGAGACTCCTCAGCAGTGCGCATCTACGATCACGCACGCGCGATTCAAACACAGGATTATATTTAATACCACATTCTAATTCTACTCTTACATAAATGCTATATATCAGGACAATTCAGTATAAGATATGTTGACTGATGAGTGTTTAGTATACAAGTTTTGTACAGACAATTGGATTTTCATAGATTACGTCACAGACTGATCTTAGTTGAACGAGCGTCAAAAATCTGGAAGCACTGTTGTGGCCCTAGATCTGGCTCCAGTTAGGTCGTTTGCTGATTGCTATTGAAATACACATTTTGCCAATCCTGGTATATAATCATTGACTTAAATCGCCTTAGTGAATAACGGGATTAAATAAGTCAAATAAGAGAATGATTTTCGAATATGTATATTTCGTACAACCGCTGATCGGCATGCGAAGTGAAATGAAATAACGCGAGTGAATCAACTCTATTTATCCAAGCGTGAATCGATATTTATACTCGAACAAAAATAATTTACAGACATGCGATGAATAGGATGAGAAGTGCACATACGTACAATCATATTAAAATAGTCAAAGTTGATAAGCAAATAGTTAACAAGGTCAAAATATGACTCGAGAAGAGTGAATAAATTGGCCTGTCTGGAATCCAGAATAAGCTATGTGGGCTTGCATAGCACTACAGCACTATATGTATTTCTTGTTCTAGTGTGAGACTGATCAAAAGTGGGCATTCCTTTATGTAATGTATGAAAAGATGACGATCTCCACAAACTCTTTAATCTAATACTAATCCTATGCTCACCGAACACAAACTTTAAGGCTCACTTCTAGGTGTTCTGGTGAAAAAATCATCATTAGTGTAGTTTAATCATGTCATATGTGGAACCGTTGTCCTCTTCAGGTAATGGAAGATGACCATATTTATTCTGATCATTTATCTTACAATTGTATTTCACTCATAAGCTGATTCAAGTCAACAACCTCATATTAGTCATCCCAACATTAACGATTTGATTTGATTTTATATGACAAACAATTCTTGACTCACATATTACAATTTTAAATGATGTACTCTCTGCCTTAAATCTGACCAATGTTATGTATTATTCATTTGGATTTATAATTGTAGAACCTAATGAGAAATTATTGAAGAGAAAATTCTTCGTTCATGTAATTGTGTTTTAATATAATGGAAATTTTTCAGCGAATATAAAATGATCTATGGTTTATCTTAACACGGTCACAGTCGAAAAGACTTTTTAAAAGAATGAATTTCCTATGTGGCTAACATTAATTACAGATTATATTCTATGAGTATCTTTTACTCTTAATGACCACTTTTCGCAGCCACAAAGTAGGACAGAATGAACTGCCGCGCAGTATACTCGTCCCTTAATTGATAGGCGGATATCTCACGTTTACCATAGGTAACGTAAGTTGGTGAAAGCCGAACGATCTTTTTGAATCCGTGCTGAGACTTCGTCAGACACCAACCCATTAGGTCTGGCCAGACTTCCAAGATAACTGAAGTTATCGACGCGTTTGACTACTTCACTCCCTATCGTTAGTTCTGGTGTTGACTAAGGATAGGGAGTGAAGTAGTACATACTCTCTTTTTATACACTCTTTTTCTTCTCTTAATCCGTGAGATTAAAATTGCCTTATAACTTTCTACGGACTAATTCTTTCTTCCTGTAGTATATCCTTATAAACGATCTTTCTTTTCACAATTGATTGATCACTGGGTGGTGATCAATGTCATGCTTGTCTAGTCCTTATTAGTGCAGATCGAATGCTATCGATCATGTTGCAATGTGGCCACCAGTCTAGGTGACTCGACACTGCGGGCACTATGTATTGAGATTTAGATGGTGGTTGGAGGTAGTCAACAGGAAACCCTGGACCCGGGTTTCGTGCTACTTGGCACTCGTCAGTTAGGTGATCGATAGCATTCGATCTGCACTAATATGGACTAGACAGGCATGACATTGATCACCACCCAGTGATCAATCAATTGTGATTACATCTCAGTCCTACTGGAGGTTGGTCACGGCTCGGATAGCTCAGTGGTAACGTCTCTGACTGTGAAGCTGGGTGACACGAGATCGAACCCGCCAGGGAGCACCGGTTCCCTCAAGACTACAGGTACACCTTGCTGACGAGTGACAAGTAGCACGAAACCGGGGTCCAGGGTTTCCTGTTGACTACCTCCAACCACCATCTAGATCTTCCTTTTATATATTACTACCATTGAAGTAACTACATTTATGAATTTGGTGTTCATCTTGTTGTGCTAATGAGGTGCGGCGACTTGGACCAATGCATATATGTGCCTGGTCCTACGTTGTAGCTGACTGACTGACTGCGATTAGGTTTAAAAAAGTTGGTAAAAAATAATCTATGGTTTATTTTAACTTGGACACGGTCAAATTGATTTTCTAAAAGAACGAATTTCCCTTGTGACTAACAATAATTACAGATTATATTCTATGAGTTTTCATACGAACCTTGTTGTAACGTTAATTTGGATGTGAATAGGATTCATATATCTTAATTAATGAGATAAGATGTTTATTAAATTAATTTTTCAACCGACTAAAAGAATATGGAATAAATTATGGCCTAGCAACTGATTTAAAATATCCGAATAGTAGTAATACTCGTCTTGAAGATCACATCCTGAAAATCTACATTTTTACTCCATTCGGACTAACAAAATAAAAACTTATGAACTAAACTGATACATTAATATAGGTATACTTATTTCTTTTGGAGCATACTATTAAAACTGTGGTGTGGGTTAGTTATATCCACATAAGCAGTATATAACGGTGGTCAGGCATAGAATGTATTTCAGTAGAAGATCGATGAGGAAAGAACGGGAACGGAACGCAATTGGTAAGAAAATGCATGAACAATGAAATCTAAGACAATGGACTGATATTTGCAAAAGAACCAGTGAAGCTTGGATTAATATTTTGCAAATTGACTATTTACTATATGGTTCTCAAATTTTAGTGAAATGCTCTGTAATTCCTTGTCGAATACATTTAATCGCCCCCACTTGTGTTATTGTTCACTACAAAACAACTAGAAATATTAGACTAAACAGATATTTGTCAGTTTAGGGGTTGTGGAGATTGTTAAGTTTTTCTTGATTGAGATCATGAACCGATTGATATTAGACCATCATTGAAAACCTGGAAGCACTGGACAGCCGTTTCGTCCTATTGTGGGACTCCTCAACAGTGCGCATTCACGATCTCGCCCACAGGATTCGAACCCAGGGCCTCCAGTCTCGCGAGCGAACGCTTAACCTACTGGACCACTGAGCGGGCATCCAATAGTGTTAATATTTAACCTCAACCAATCCACAAAGTTGCGCGACCATCTTCCATTGTACTGAAGTAGACACCTGTTTCTACCCGACACGGATAGATTTGTATAACATGCACCTAATTCATGTTTATTGACCCACAATTCATAATATCATCAACTGATCCTATATCTCTATTATTGATTTTATTGATTATTGACTTTAATAATAATTTTAAAAAAAATGATAAACGTGAGATTAAAACAAACTCACTTATTTTTCGCATCGAAATTAATTAAATTCCTGATTATTAATCCATCGTTTTTCATATCATTCTTTAATCTTGTCGAGTTCATCACTTGAACAAGAATAGATTTTTAGAATTATCCGGATCCTGTAATAAACAGTAAGTGACCTGTTTTTTCTTTATTTATGTTATCACTATTTGCTTCAGTATTTATTATTTAAAAAAACAAAACAAGTGGTTTGATCGACTATTGATTGTGGAAGTAAAAAAACAAACGAAAAGTTTATTCAATCAATGAAGGAAATTTGTCAGATCATTACAATGTCTATATATATATATGTCATTTGCTTCCTTTATCTATTATTATCCTTCATTTAAAGTATTCTATCATAAAATTAATTAAATCAATTTATTTAATTGATTTCTTTAAATATCTTACCTAAAAGTGACCAATCACTAGAGTATTCTATTAAGAAAGTACTTGTGTATGTATGTGAGTGAGTGAGTGAATGAATGAAAAAGTAATAGGTTGACCTCTGTAAACAACGAAATACCTCATTCATAAAGTATCAATAATCACTTAATTAAGAACAATAAATTATTTGATTGTAAGTGAACATCGGTTGATAACATATTAAAATCGTGTTTATTAGTGGTTATTCTATGTGATTATCAACATTATACAGAATAGATGGAGTCAGTCAGTCAGTCAGTAACAACGTGGAACTTCGTACGTATGTACATCAGTTCAAGTTCCCACACCACATTAACACAGAGATGCACTTGTCGGTTCAAATCCCGTAGTGGTAGAGGTAGTAAGAGTATAGGCAGTAATCGGAAACATTAGAGTTTGAACATATTATTCAACGAGTATAATACAGTGAAATAAATTTGGAAAGAGGAAAAAAGGCACATGAAGAATTTAGAAGATTAGAATTTGGGAGAACACAAAGAGTGGATGCACCTGCGCCATTGCAAACGATTTCGAGCCATGTCATTCAGGGTCTCTAACCATCGGTTGCTATCATCTCGTGGACCCCAACCACGTAGTCTACACCTACCAACATGGATCAGTCCACCTGTCAGTGACCTCATGGATTTGTGTCATGTTTTGATCTGGCCGCCCCTAGCTTTCTTCCAACCTACTCCTACACCATAAAACATCGCACGTCGGTGCAGTCGGTTGTTGGGCATACGAAACACATGTCCCAGCAATCTCAACTGATGAAGTTTCACCATTTCATCAATTGATTTGCCATCCTTGCCTAGTACCCGTTTCCTAAAAACTGCATTACTTACCCGATGGTCCCAGGATATACGACCAATGTTTCGAAGACACCTATGATCAAATACTAGTAACCTACGAATATCCTCGTCTCTTACCGGCCATGTTTCACTGCCATAAAGTAGGACGGAACGAACTGCTGCGCAGTAAACACGTCCTTTGGTTGGTAGACGGATATTCCACCTACACCATAAATGACGCAAGTTGGCAAAAGCTAGTCGAGCCTTCGGTATCCGTGCTGAGATTTCGTCAAACACCAGACCACAAGGGCTGATGAGACTTCCAAGATAAGTGAAGCGGTCGACACGCTCAACTACTTCGCTCCCTATCATTAGTTCGGGTGTCAATGCAACCCAATCCTGAAGTAACATTTTGCATTTCGAGGGAGAGAATCGCATCCCGAACATGCTTGCATTGTTGCCTAGAGTGGTCAGAAGACTGCATTTTGTCAGCGTCTTCGCCAAATAGAACTATGTCATCGGCACATTCTAGGTCAACAAGTGAATCTCCTGGCAGAACTACAACCTCGGGAAATTTAGATGAAGAAAGTTTCAGCTCTAAAAGCACGTCAACGACAAAGTTAAACAAGAATGGAGAGAGTGGACAACCCTGACGAACATCACTTGAGGTAATCAATTCTGATAACAGTTCACCATAAGCTCTCACTCGACCAGTTGTATTCGAGTAGAGAGCCTTTATAAGGTTAATGTTCTTCTTTGGTACTCCTTTCAGTGACAAACACTGCCATAGAACCTCACGATCAACAGAGTCGAATGCCGCCTTAAGGTCGAGAAATACTACCATTGTGGGGCGTCTGAACGTGTGTCTGTGTTCTAGAACCTGACGTAGTGTGAATATCTGATCTATACAACCACATCCAGGTCCAAATCCAGCCTGATTTTCTTTAGTCTCTTCTTCACGAGCTTTGATAAGCGTCGAAGTATTATTGAAGCTAATATTTTAGACACTATGTTAGTCAAACTGATTCCTCTGTGATTGTCACAAGAGGACTTTTGTCCTTTCTTATAGACTGGCACAATCAGTGATTGAGACCAGTCAGATGGGATTACGTCCAGTTCCCAAATTCTACCTAAGACTTCGGTTAATCTCGCTTCTAATACTGAACCACCATCCTTAAAAATCTCAGGAGTAAACCTGTCAGGGCCTGCTGCTCTCCTCGCTTCTGATTTCCTATGGCTTTTTCAACTTCGTAAAGAGACGGAGGATCTACATTAACTTGCCATTCAGGTTGACTGGAGATCGTGGGAAACCGAAGTGCGGCTGAAGGCTAGTTGAACTAGTCCCTAAAGTGTTCTGCCCATCGATCCAATCTACTAGATTAAGAATGAATAATATGTCCATCTTTCTCTGTAACTGTTTCAATTATATTCGGATTCCTAATACCGGTTTCCTTAACAAGTCTGAACAATTGTCTGCTATTACCTATTGCCGCAAGATTAAGTGTGGGGTAATAATGAAATCCAGAACGCGCGTTTTTTCCTATTCTAAACTCATCAGCTATCCGTACAAGATGCATATATACCGACTAAGACTGATTAAATGTTCAATCAAATATAAATAACGAGATAACTTAAAACATTACAAATTAAATAGAAATAACACTAACATTTCAGTCATGATATTTATATGAATCAAGAACTCCTATTTTATTCTGCATTATTTTTTAATTCATTTTCAGAAATAATTATCTCCACAGTGAATTACAACAATAGAAACTCTTTGAAGGGAATAATTAATAACAGTATTCTATTATTTACCCAGGAATGATTGTTTACTATTTACGTTACTAGGCGAATCAGTTAACTGAAAATTGTATTAATTGATATGGAAATGTTGCATAGTATTAACATTATGGTGCCGAAATTATTATTAATTTAAATTATCTAACTTAAATGGAACCTACAAATACTTGATATGCAAATTAAAGGAAATTTTTAGTTGTAGAGATCGGTTTATTTGTTAACAAGAATAATAGATACACTTTTTTCCTAGAATTAGCGGTGCAATCCAGAATGCATGCCTCTCCCTATATCGAACTCGTCAGCCGGATATACCTACACTCCAACAGGGATATTAATACTACTCAGATTAAAACTCGAAATGGTCGATTGTAGTCCTTAAGATCAGCAGTGGGAATAATATAAACCCTTACAAATAATTAACATAGTATTTAACCTTGATACATTCAAAGTAAATGTATTATGAAAAATCTATATACATAAAGCATAGAGATGACAAATAGTTATTAGTTATTGAAATATATTTTACTGATAATCAGTGAAAAATAGGAAATACTGATTACTTTGCGTTAACATTTATAGGCCATATTTCTTTATCTATCTACATAATTTATTCAGTACCAATTAGATGAACTGATTAGGATATGGGAAATATTAAATACAGTACCATATTCAAGTATCAATAAAAATAATCGATATAAATAATGATAGATAACGATAAGATATATTATTGATACCAAATTTCAAATTGCAGATATTTCTACAATGGAATATTTGTTCTATGTTGCTATCTTAGGAACTATGGGCTTTTAAAACAAAGTTCACATATCCAGTTTAACTTCTTTTTAATCATGGACTAAAAGTATAATAATGTCTAGTGTCTAATAGTTACTTACTTTACTTACTTACGCCTGTTACTCCCAATGGATCATAGGCCGCCGACCGGCATTCGCCAACCTACTCTGTCCTGCACCTTTATTTCTACTTCCTCCCAATTCTTGTTCATTCTTCTCATGTCTGTTTCCATTTCTCAGTGTATTATGTTCTTTGGTCTAACTCTCCTCCTTTGACCTTGAGGATTCCAAGTGCGAGCTTGCCTTGTGACGCAGTTCGGTGATTTCCTCAATGTGTGTCCTATCCACTTCCAGCACTTCTTCCTGATTTCTTCCTCCACTGGGATCTGGTTTGTTCTCTCCCACAGTAGGTTGTCGCTGATAGTGTCTGGCCAACGGATGTGAAGTATTTTGCGTAGACAGTTGTTAATAAAAACTTGTATCTTCTTGATGATGGCTTTAGTGGTTCTGTAAGTTTCCGCCCCAACTAGTAGAACTGTTTTGACATTTGTATTGGAAATTCTGACCTTTGTGTTGGTTGACAGTTGCTTTGAGTTGCAGATATTCTTCAGTTGTAAATATGTTGCTCTTTCTTTGCTGATCCACGCCTTCACATCTGCATCAGAACCACCGTGTTCATCAATGATGCTGGTATCTAATAGTAGTGTCAAGAAATATAGTTTTTTTTATCTAAATGTAGGTTAATTGTCTCCATGTAGAAGATTCTTACTAAATCTATACCATAGATTGTTGGACAAAAACGTGAGAAAATTAAACACTGACCACTTAATAGTTTGGTGGTAAGTTGTGTAGTCAGTTATGCCATGTATTATTCATTTAACACACCTTATTTAGGAAGTTCTCTTTCACTTATGTTATTGAATAGGTTACTTGAGTTTTTAGTCAGTTTTTCACTGAATGGCTAAATAAGTACTTATTATTATTTTCTAAGCAGTAGCTTATTAATTGTAAAGCTAAGAAATTTAAATACTTCAGGCCAAAATATAAATATCCTTAATTTTTACATCTCAGTGTGCTACTGTCCTTAAAAGATTGCTTACTTAGTCACCTAAATAATGTGTTTTGAATCTCTCTACGTAGAGAAGTTTTATGTTTGTTTAACCTCATCTTGTCAATTGTTATTAAGGAATTTAAACTGAAATAAACCGTTACAGAAGTTTTTTTGATATTAAATACATTTGACTAGACTTCCTAGTTTTGAATATCACAGTTCAATCTTATAGTTATGTGTACAATGTTTCTTTATAAACGATTAGCTACTTAGAATGAAAACGTGGTTCAAATGGTCAAGGGTTACTAAGTCACACAATTTATAATGAGAATTCATTGTGATTATAATCTAAA